TTTTTTTGTCCAGTCGAGTAATTAACCCCGAGCTACTCTGGTAGCCGAGATATTTTATATATAAAATACTAGGTTACCAGAGTGACCCAGACCACTTGCTCGACCAGGCCAAAAAAACAAAATTGTATTTTAAATTTGGTAATTAATTTTAATGTGACCCTAACGCCAAACCTTTTCTGTTTATTTTTCTGCATAATATCTATTTTTTTTTTTTTAATTATTTTATTTTTATTTTATTTTTATGATCTTTTTCGACCCTTGCACGACCGGGCCATCCAGATAAATAAGGTGATTCGGGCGGCCCGACTAGTAGCATGAATAAAATATTATTAACGCTGAATTTATACTTCAATTTTTTTATCACATTTTGATTATTATAACACACAAAGTCGTCAAATTTTACTCACTCAACATTTATCAAAATTAAACGACATCTGCAGTTAATCTCACAGACCCCCTCATTTGGTGTCTCTAAATGTCAAATTTTACATAAAAAAAACTCAACACTAACGTCGGTGGTCATATGAAAACTTTGTAAACATCGTAAAAAAGAAAACATTCGTTCAACAAATAGTTTATGATACTCGACATTTCTCAAACCTTCCTCCACATTCTATGGTTTGATAGGAATGTGATTCGATTTTACCTTAAATAAATTTTACACTTAACTGGGTTACCAGATTCGCATGGGGGCGGTCGGGCAGTTGGGTCAGTGTGAGTTTGACTCTTTTGCCCGGGTCACCTTGGCGAGTGAAAAAATTAGTAAAAACTTTCTCCCCCCCCCCCCCGATAATGGGGTATTTTTGTGCCCTTCGAGAGGGATTTAAATCCGGTGTTATTTTTTTTTAATGTTATTTTGGAGGGTCGGGGGTCGGGGGTCGGGGGGCTAAGATATGGGTCGGGACCCCACCTGACTCCCAGGAGGTCCCGTGCAGGTCCTGTGCCAACTTTGGAGACCTCGGCAGCACGACTGGTATCCCCAAGTATTAATGATTTTTATGTTCAGAGTGAACAAATAGATGCAAAAAAAATAATCAATAAACCGACAATTGCCTCATTGTGGAAAAAACAATGTCGGTCTCCTCATACCACAACTTTTTTTACTTGTCGCTGCGTAGCATCTTGTTCGCGTTCGGAGGCAAACGCGAACATGCTCGCCCCAACACGAAGGAGCGCCAAAAACCCTACGAGTCAGAAAAATCAAAAAAATAAATATATCATGTAAAACAATAATACAAACAACTTTTGCCTTGGAGTTATGTTCAAATTTTTAACCAAATATGATTTTAAATCAATACATTCACTCGAACACGTTCTTTTTAACGCGAAGGGGCGCAAACACGTTCATCGTGCTACGCAAACTTGCAACTATTAAACCACCACTACCTCTTTCACTCTTGGAAAAAATAGAAAAACTGGCTAGGCTACCAGTTGGGCCGCCCGGGCCCCGGGTGACCAGCCCGTGCAAGGATCAGAGAAGGTTCCAGCAAAAGGAAAAAAAAAAAGAAAAAAAAAAAGACTATATTATGCAAAAAAATAAAATGAATAACATTTGCCTCAGAGTCGCATCAAAATTATTTATCAAATTAAAAAAGTGTACTTCTTTTTTTTTTAGCATAGCTAACCGCCCTGAAAATTTACAGATGTGTACTTCACATAATTCAAAACCCAGTAAAAAAAATTCAAAAAACAATAAAATTGTTTAGACCCCGAACTAAAGTGAAAACAAGAAGTAAAAAGTGAAAAAATGTGTGGGCGAGCAAGTTTGACACCGCCATTTTTGACGATTTTTAATTCTTATTGGGCTTAGCCAAATGACTTGAAAATTTACAGACATGTACCTCATATCATAGAGAACCCACAAAAAAAAACTCAGCAAATAATTATTATGTTTAGGCCCCGAAATAATTTTTGGCGGGGGCCAAACGCCGTCGGGTTCG